TATATATATACACTGTACACTAATAAATTCAGAATTAGAGGATGTTTGTTTAAGACTGTATTAGTGGTTTAAAATGATTTAAACATGCTTATTAAAAAATAAGCATTCAAAGTCTAGATGATGTCCTCTGGTGCTCCAGCAGGTGGAGACAAATATTACAAATGTGGATTCTCAACACTTAGCATCACGTATTAGCCTAAACAAATGCAATTATGTTTAAAGGAATCTTGCATTTTTTGTTTTTTCTTCAGAAGGAGAAGAGGACACATTAATGAACGACTTAATGGTGGACTGGTTTACCCTCATCAGAAACAAACAGGTCTACATGAGACGAGAATCCGAGCTTGTGTACATGTATGTGTAAACTGTTGACTTACTGGAATGCTGATAGTGAATATCTTCCATTTCTAAATGTGCATTAAACAGTTTAATTATCTGTGATTGGGTTCTGATAGTGCCAAGACACAGGATCTAGAGGAAGAGCAGCCCAGTGTTGAGGCCGAACTCAGGAGACTGATGGACAAGCCAGGTTTGTCCGACACTGGAAAAAGTCAAGCATCATTTGTTTGCAGATGCCACTTGATCAAACACTTTGTTTTTGTAGTGCAATGGCATTCATGCTTTTTGGGGTTACTGTATCACTGGATGATGATGAAGCTTTGTGTAGACAGTTGTAAACTGATTGTATGATTTGGTTAATTTAAAAGATCTGCTTTTGTTTAAAAGCTTCATATCACTTTTGTGTAATCTAATCTAGCTATTAAATGATGTTTCTATCCTGTAGAGCATCTGAAGACATCTTGGGATCATAAACGAGAGGAAGAGCTCATGGCCAAACTTGTGGGGATTGTGAACGACAGGAACGCCATAGTGGAGGGGCTGGATGAAGACAGACTGAGGTGTGCAACACATATCATATCCTACCGTCCTTGCCCAAACATCCTTGGTTACATCAGCAGAAGAGAGAATTTACTACATTTTGATGAAAAAAAAAAAAAGTGTTTTTATTTTATTTTAAATGCACAATATGACTAGGTACATTCATTAAAGTAAATAGGCTATTTATTTATCTTATTTATTTTTATGCATTTAGAGTAATATGCACTATATAACTAGGAGTATTTATTTATTCTGTGTTTTGTATTTTATTTTTATATATTTTTATTTTTATTTTTTCTTTGCTTAAAACATTCCAGTCATTCTTTTTTTTTCCCAGAGTGCTATTGAATACCTAAACTTACTTAATGTGACATTTGTGAATCTTTTTACGCTTCTATCTACAGGGAGGATGAGGAGGATGAGCAGCTGAATAAGATGATGCAGAATCTTGGTAAGTATGATTATGTATGTATTATGATTATGTATTGTGTAGCATTAAAACCTGAGATTATAAAAAAAATTTCCCATAAGCTTTTGAAAAAGGTAGAGGAAAATGTGCAAAAGAAATATTAAACCTTTCAAAATAAATAATATTTTAATGAATTTAACGTTTTAAGGTTTCTCAAAAACATGACAGTTTCTTATTTTACAACAAATTACATTTCTCTAGCTAGAAACTGATTACTCTGCACCAGCTGGCTCTGATTTTAAAGAGGCAGAAATTTGCAGCCAACTCGATTTATTATGGTCCATTGGATGTCTGTTGGATGATTCAAAAATGAACATCCCTTCCTGTTTGCAAATAATAAGAGGCTGGCAGTGAAGAGACAATTGTTTATTGTCACCATTTGTTCGTTGATGGCAGAGAGAATTATTTTTGGTAATGTTTAGTGTCTGTTTCTAGTCAACATAATAATATAAACTGATACTGTATATTTAGTTTAGTATGGTAAAGCTGGTTGCACATGAGATTTCTACTCAAGGCCAATTTTGTAATTAAGGCACTGGAATCTACTGTGCTAAATACAGAAAACTCAAAGTTTTGAATTAATTGCACAATATTGTTTGCACTTTCAACTAAGCAGTTCAGAGGTTGGGCAGTTTGTTGTTTTTTCACATTTCTATATCTGATGTTAAAACTAAAGTTTACTTTTTGGAATAACTGCCACCTGTGCAACTCTCCACCCACCGACTCAAAGTGCTATGAATCTTTGGAGTAATTGCTCAGTGCATGTTTATATATTCCACAATTTGAAAGGCCAAACAGGAAAAGTAATGCAACCCATTTTGATTGAATGATCACTAATGGAAACCAAAGGTATCTAGCCTTGGCTAATGATCTGTCTGCATTTTCAAAGCTAAAATGACTTCTAATAAAATGTATAATTTACTAACCCAATTAAACCAATGCATAAATGTGGACAAAAGTCATAACCATTTGCAATTCATGACATAAAAACTGCCGGATAGCCCTGGAAGCTGTTACTGATGTTCTGTGGTCACCATTAGTAAATGACCTCTTGGTTTCTCTTGAAATGAACTTTATGTGCCTGGCAGTTAAGTGTGGGTTATGCTTTACCATTTGCAGATATGAAGAAAGAAAAAGTCAAGAGAAAATCAATATCCCGGTGGTTTAGTCTGAAAAGTAAACGGGCGTCCACAGAGGACTGATCCTCATGAAAAGGGTGTCTGTGTGTGTTTTGTCCCAGACCGAATGTTTAAGGTGCAGTTTGAGGTCAGATCACTAAATCTTAATTGCAGTTACACAGCCTTCAACAAATGGTATTTTTTATGAAATCACATCATTATATATTTTCACACTTTTTTTTTTTCCACATACTTTTGCACATTTTTTTTATCTGTCTCCTGTCATTGTGGGTGTGATTTGTGCATTTGTTAACAAACGTTTTGCACTTGAATCCTTTGTATAATGTTGACTGTATCTCTCAGTCAGTGTTTCATTAGGGAATTGGACAGTTTTGAGAGAAATGAGGTCATACTTTAAGTCATACTGATTCATATTGGATCAAAGTTAAAAATGGACGGGTTAAGTTCCGACTCAAACTGAATTCACTTTCTTACACTTTACTTTTTACAATGTATTTTAAATTGAGAATATCGCTCATTTTTGCTGGAAACGATCCTGTTTAATCATTTTAATGGTGTTTTACCCTGGCACATTTCTACTGTCTCAACAGCAGGGGGCAGACAGTGACTGATTTCAGCCATAGGACACTGTATGCCCATCTGATTTCTCAACAACCTGTGAGAGAACTGATTTAATAGGGTCTTTTTAAGACATTATTTAGGATTCATCATTTAAGAGCTTATGTTGTTTCATTGATCACTAGGATCATGCTTTTAACCACTGTCCAGGTAGCTTTTTATTGATTGTATTTATTTTTCTGGGTTTTCCATAAATATGAATTGTCTTCATATTATCTGCACTTTTTGTTTGAAATGTTCTTGCTCTCTTTTCCCAGTATTTGATCAAAGGTACACCTTAAACGTGTGTAACAAACTGTTTAGCTGTTTGTACCAAAGTAGTAGCTGTTTGTAATTCAAGCAAAAAGGTCTCTATTTTTTTACCCAGTGCCCAGCATTTAATTTCATACCTTTATATTGTGTACAATAAATTTTAAACGTCAACATGAATGCCTTATTTTTCTTTTTAGTCCATCTGCAGTTATTAAATATGATTACACCTTCTAGTTGCTTTTTCTCTTCCATTAGCAAAGCACAAATTTGTTTGCATACTTTTTTCACTAGAATTGCTGTGTAAGCACTACAAATTAGTGTGTAATGAATGCAAAAAATGAGCTTTAACTTGGAAATTTAGGTGTGCTAAAATGCCATCTTTTATTCTTTTCATATAATTGTAAAATGCATTTTAATAGTAATTTTCAGTATCATATTTTTGTTCTATATAAAACAGTTTTATGCATGCAGTTTTTACATGTTATGATTTTTTTTTTAAATGTTCTTGAAGTCGCAAAACATTTTTCTGATCAAAAATACAGTATTATTGTGAAATACAATTATAATTTAAAATAACTATTTTAATATATTTTAAAATGTAATTTATTCACATGATGGTAAAGCTGAATTTTCAGCATCATTACTCCAGTCTTCAGTGTCACATGATATTTTAGAAATCATTTTAATATGCAGATTTGCTGCTCAAAAAACATTATCAATTTTGAAAACAGTGGTACTGCTTAATATTTTTGCAGAAACCTACTTTTTTTCTGGATTCTTTGATGAATATGAAGTTCAAAAGAACAGCATTTGTTTGATTTTATTTATAATAATTATTATTACATTTTTTTGCAACAACATAAAAGTCTTCACTTTTGATCAATATAATGCAATAGTTATTGCTAAAAAAAAAAAAAGTTTTGAACTTTCTTTAGGTAAAATAACATACTTTATAGCTGTTTATGTCTCATGTGTCGATGACCCAACTATATTGACACTTAGACGTTTTAAAATGCCTGAACAACTGTAAGTAAACGCTCTTGGAAAACACGCAGTGCAGAATCTTATAATAAACTGAATGCTTGGACTTCTTTTGGGGATTCCCTATGAAACGGACTAGGTACACACTGTGTCTGTGTACACGCTTACCTGACCAAGATTCATCTTAATAATGTATGTTTGCGGTTGTGTCTTGCAGCATGTGTTTGTGGGCTTCTAATGCATACAAATGTATTCCGGTTCTGTATCTGTTCGGCTTTGTCGTTCAGTGAACAAATCTGCTGCGACAGCATGTGAGACCACAAGAATAGGAATGCTAACATATGCTAATGTATGTGTTGACTCTGTCAGCGCTGATATGGCGAGTGGATTACCTGTGTTTCCTTCCATCTGATCCACTGAAAGTGTCTACAGCCGAGGATACCCCATTGAGCTTTACATGAGCCGCTGCTTTTGATATGCATTTATGCTAAGAGTGTTTTTTGCTGCTGCTTGAATCGAGTGATGAATATAGGTTTGCTCAAGTGATCCTGTAACGTTATAGTTTAAGGCCCGTTTACACGTTTTTTTAAGTTTTACAGAACGGTTTGTTTTCCAACTGATGAACAAAAACACTGACAGCCAATCAGCATCCATTTTGCCTTAAAGGGATAGTTCACCCAAAAATGGAAATTCTGTTATTAATTACTCACCCTCATGTCGTTCCAAAATCGTAAGACCTTCGTTCATCTTCAGAACACAAATTAAGATATTTTTGATGAATTCCGAGAGCTCTCTGATCCTCCATAGAAAGCAAGGGTACTACCACAATCATAGCACAGAAACGTAGTAAGGACAACATTAAAATAGTCCATGTGACATCAGTGGATCAACTGTGATTTTATGAAGCTACTAGAATACTTTTTGTGCACAAAGAAAACAAAAAGAATGCCTTTATTCAACAATTCTTCTCCACGTCACCCTACAGCCATTTTGGAGCGTACCACGACGCATGCAAACAAGGTGCAGCGCATGCGTGTTCTACGTCAGCAGCATCACATTCATGTGTTGTTTACATTCAGGAAAAGCATGCACATGCCTTGTGATAGCGCCTAAAATGGCGCTATATAGGGTGACGCGGAGGAGAAGCCTTGATCGTGATCATACCCTTGCTGTCTATGGAGGGTCAGAGAGCTCTCAGATTTCATAAAAAAAAATCTTAATTTGTGTTCCGAAGACGAACAGAGGTCTTACGGGTTTGGAACGACATGAGGGTGAGTAATTAATGACAGAATTTTCGTTTTTGGGTGAACTATCCCTTTAATGAGCTAGACCATTTAAAGTGTCAGAAGACAAAACTGCAGCACGTGCTTATAGAAACAGAACGTTATTCTCCGCTGGTGTGGATGCTAATATTATGATTTTATATTATGGCTAATATCATGGATTTAAAAATGAGAATTCTGCTAAAAATGAAAATTCTGTCATCATTTACTCACTCTTATGTCGTTCCAAACCTGTATGGGTATTGTTTCTCTGTGAAACACAAAAGAAAACGTTTAGCAGAATGTCCATGCTGCTCTTTTTCCACATAGTTTAAGTAAATGATGAACAGGGGTTCTCAAGGTCCAAAAAGATTAAAGGAACATTACATTTTTGAAAGCTTTGAGCTTTTAGAGCTGCAACAGAGTGGAACATTTTTAGTTTATTCACTTTTATGCATCATTTTTTTTCTTCTTCTTCAGAGCTTGAAAGTCCTTGGTCACTATTCACTTTCATTGTAAGGTAAAGATCTTCTGAAAATCATGTGATTTGTGAGAGAAATGAGTGTATGATAATACGATTTATTGAAGGTTAAAAGGTTTTACAGTCTTATTGTGGCTTGTAATTTTATAAACACTTTTATATTGGAGGTTATATTTGTGAAAGACATAATAGAGAATTTCTCTGCAGGTGCTTAATTTCAAAACGCCGAATGAATATGTGTAATTGTTTTCTTTCAGTAGGTTCACTGTGCTGCGCATGTAATTTATCGTCATAAATGCCCTAGGTTAAATGAATTTAAGCACACACACATATGCATGTAAGGCAGAATATAAGCCTTTCATTGTGTGCGGGGAGATTTCTGGGAAAGACATTAGAGATGGAAAAGCTATCTACACTGACCTGGAGAGATAGCCCGTGTCAGACTAAGCCACCATGTGCAGAGCTCTGCACAAATACAAACACACACACACGCAGAGAGAGCTTCATGAGTGCACTCACACACATTTGAGCCTGGTTTGAGATCAAAACTATCAATTACACAAATACACATATTGTATTTGATGGCTCAATAAAACATAAATGCCCATGAAGGGTCATGAGGATACTTTAAAGATAGTTCTCTATTTGATGTGAATATTAAGTTTTTCAATTTGCAAAAAAATTAAGTTTTTAAGATTACAGAGACAGAAATAAGGGAAATGACCAGTTAATTAGGGTTAACTGATGTTTTCCATAGCTTAAATTTAGCATTACATCACTTGCTAACCAATGGATCCTTTGCAGTAAATACATTTAAATTCAATATAAATATATTTTTATTTATTTGATGTTTTACACACACACACACAAAATTCTTATTTGTGTTAAAATCATTTTAATGCATGGCCTCTCATATTGCTTAATTATGCCATATTGATAAAAGTTCAATACAAATATTTAAAAACTTTGTTTATTACTCATTGTTTTAATGTTGCAAGTATATAAAAGTATCTCTATTAAGTCTTCACAAGATGTTGTTGCTATCGCTGTAAGAGAAAAGGACAGCAACATTTCCACAGCTGGCCTGAAGTCACAAAGCGAATAATCATTACAAGAATCAAACAAATCTTCATGGTCTTGCATATTTTATCAGATAACGCCTCTTCTTTCTTTGCCGTTATTGAATGTTTATCATGATAGAATGCCTTTTGTTCTCTGTGATGATGTTTGCATGCACACTCTCTATTTGAATTCATCTTCTGGTTTAATTTAGCTCACAAGGACCATTGTAATTGCTTCTGACTTTGTAATTGAAGCTATAGGGTTTGACAAAAATGTACTTCGCATTTAGTGATACTGATTTCGTTATTACAAAATATGTTGTTTATTTACAACCTAGATGCAAAGATATTGTCATTTCTTTTGCAGAGTAAATGACAGTAACCAAACAGACCATTGACTTGGAGAATATGTTGAAGTAGCATCATGCCAGTGTGCCTTGAACAAATCATAAAATGAGATGTGGCCCAGTGGTCAGTGCACAAGCTTTGACTTGTTGAACCACTTTCATTTCCAATTTTCCCGCTTATCTTTCCTGTCATTCTCGCCACTCTTAAGTGCTGAAAAGGCCAAAAAGTACTAATAAAAACGACATTTTCTGAAGAAAATGAGAGTTGTGGATGCTAAAGTTGCCGGCATGATGCTAGGGTGTTAAGAATGGTTGCTCGGGCATTGCTAGGTGGTTGCCGGGAAGTTGTGGGTGATTGCTGGGGTATTTTGAGTGGTTGCTTGGGTGTAGTTAGGTTGTTGCTATAGGTGTAAACAGGCCCAGTTTTTGCCCATTTTATCAACTGAAAATCATAAGTCTGATTGCCTAGTTATATATATACATACATAGCGTTTTAATATAGATACAGAGCTGGGTAATAACTGATTACATGTAATCTGTATTACGTAATCAGATTCAAGTACAAGTTTTTCAAGTAATTTCAAGATACAAGTACTTGAAATTAGATTAATTACATTTTAAAATACTTGTAATCAGACTACAGTTACTTTTTTATGGATTACATATTATCAGTATGGTACAAGATTATTCTATTTAAATCAATGTGAAAAATGAGATCAAAAGAAGG